ATTGGCAGTTTTGAATTAGTAGAACTTTGTTACAATTGCAATCATTGAGATAGTTGCAGGTTCTGATAACTCAGTTTGTAAGTCCTGGCAACGTATTCTCGAAAAGATCTAAGGGCTAGGATGTCCAAGGTTCTTATCTTCTAACATTGATTCTAGGACATCCTAGCGATAAGATCGTTTCAAGAATACTCGGCCAGATTCAGATGTTCAGATCAATTTGCAGAAACCATAATTCTTCAATTAATTTATTATAAATATTCATTATTATTTTACTTTTTAAAAGTTTCATTTGTTTGTGTTCTTGTGTCTAAGGTGTCAAATATTGATTTGGTCAAACTTTAGAATCCAAATTTCAGTAGGACAATAGGACAGTATGTAAAGGACAGTAAGGAAATAGATAGTTGTTAATCTAAAATTAATCTAATGAAATTTGATTGAGTCACATACTTTACTGGGTTTGGTCACATCATTGTTTCTTTTGATTAATGTTTCAAACTTTTTGATTTCAAGAATGGCACAGCATGACGTCTGAATGACATTAAATTTAGATTGAAATATGATATTTATACCTGATGACCAGTTAATAAAATTTTAAATAGCTAATGTTTTTTTAAACAGATAGTATCAGAGATACAAATTAAAATATATCAAGTGAATAAGCTTATTCTATTTGATCTTCTTCCTACCTCTAAAGAGGTTTGAATTTTTATCATCAATTTAATGTGTATTTGGAACAGTTCTAGCTTGTATTTGGTCCATTGTGATCCCTGTCCAATGTCGTGTTCATGTGATTCCTGTTATTTAAAAAAAGATTACTTCAGATTAGGATAAGTCTGTGACAAATATCATAAGGTGGTCTATAGTGGTTTGACGATTCATCTTCAAATATATCTCATCAGTAATACTGCAGATAAACTTATAGTCTCTTTATAAGACTATAGATTCAACTGGACTATTTTTGTTTGCAATTTTTATTGTGTAATAATCAGATACATGTGACTGTCACTATATGATAGCCACAAGACATTTGTCTGGCTCTAATTTCTGTATTATTTAAAACTGAACGAATGATTAAGACATTTTAATATATTTTAAATAATAAAAAGGAAATACAAAGGATTTCAAGATTGGATTAATCTGAATTATTTGTGGATTTGGGATATATATGGAAATTCTGTGACGTTAATCAGACGTATAATGTTGTAGTATTTTGAATACGTTAGCTTACTGAGAATTTTTTTTCTTTAAAATAGATCGAATTTTGAATAATTTTTCGCATTCTTGTAAAGTTTTGTTTGAATTTTCATTTGAAAAACGTTTTGACATTATTTTATAACAAAATTCTGTTATTTAATATTCTGTGTTATTTGCAAAGTGTCACAGAAAGTGATATTAAGAATCGTAGGAACTAAAGGATCATTCTTGATATTTGATATTTGTTGGTGAGAAATTCAGTATTTTGATAATCTTATATATCTTTTTAATGTTGATGAAGCAGGAATAACAAATCGTTCTCAGTAGCAGTTGAGGTCAAATCAAATAAATCAGGCTATTTATGTGAACTCTTAATGTTGTTGAGTCAAGTGACAAGCACAATTTGTAAGGGATATTGAAACTTGAAACTGGATTGTTAGACAACATTTTCAATTTAATCTTAAGTGAATAAGTCATTTTGAGTTAACTCATATCAAAATGTCAACGTTCATTGGACATCAAACTATTATAAGACATGGGTCTAAAAATATTGAAGCTGATGTCGTGGTGAATTCTGAACAGTAAGCTTGCCATTTATTTCATAATCATTTTACTCTCTAAATAAAGTCTCATCTCATTAAGTAATCTCAATTATTATGCCATACTAGTCAGAAAAATCAATATTTATAT